AAAATCACAGCGTTCTGATTTTGGCCCATCTGCAGGGGGCCAACCGTATGCCCAAATTGATAGGATGGGTGCTGTCATGTAAAGGTTAGATGGAAGGAAGCGTCTGGGGAGAGAGTGGCAGGAAACATTTAAGCAGCACTGATAAAACAACAGCCATCGGAAACATCAGCGACATGTATCTAAACACAAGCTGATAATTACACTGGGGACGCACCACAAGACAGATAAGACGCTTCGCCTGTCAGGAGGACATTATCTCCATCTGTCGGGTCACAAGCATGCCTGGATAAACCTCGTGATGTGGATAATTTTATACTTTTAAATACATCTAGAGAAAATACATGAGAACTTACTATTCTAGCTCATACAGATGATGCGTATTAAACAAAAAGTTAAATAATTGAAAAATATCTAAAGTCCTTTGGAAGTAAAGCTTTCTTTAAACACTTTGCTTATTAGATTCCAGTCTGCAGGATTGAATCATTTTTTTATTAAAATGCCATAATTGAATGTAATTGTGCAGTCTCAATATTAACAATGAGCTTTTTGTTTGTGTGTGAGTTTGTACGGAGGAAAAGCTGCTCCGACATTACTATAGAGTGATATTAATCCCTCAGACAGAGACGTATCAAGAGAGGGCAGCAGGTTAAAGAATTGGACAAAAGCCCCGGGAAATAGCAATCGATAAAACTCATTTTCAGCATTGATTTAACCTCATCAAACAAATACACCGGGAACCATGACATCCACTCCCAAAAAAACGACTTTTCATGGATGGAAATGGCATTTTATGTTTAAGTGAAAAAGTGAAATGCAGTATATATAATACATTTAACCAATTAGGCTGTGGAAGGCCATTCTTGTTATAGAAGCAAAGCAGCAATAGGCAATATAATAACAGGCGTAAAAACTGGACAAAACTAGTATTTTGCTTCAACTAACAGTTTCAATATAGCCCCATTTCCACCAGACCTTCTTGGCCCTACTTGACTCAGCTCGACTCTACCTGGTTGCGTTTCCATTAAGCCTAGCGTACATCGGACTGGCAACTGATTATATCCGTCGCCTCTGAGTTGCTGCCCCGCACACATCGACAATCTGGCGAAAACGGGCAACTCTGAGTCGCAGGCCAGTCTCTTGAATAACAGCGCGTACATCGACAGCAACTGGCCTCAACTACAGTGTGTTTTCTGACAACAAACTGTTGCGGGCTCGCAATACACGCAATACACACACGTTGTTGGAGCGGCGCATGGAGCGCGCACATCGGGGCAACTGAGGACAACTAGTTGCCGAAAAGTAGAACACGGGCAACTGACTGGAACTGGAGACCGACTGATCATCTCCAGTTGTAAGAGCGCGCACATCGACCGATTTCGGCAACTGATCATCTCCCACCATCTCCTCTCAGTTGCCAAAAGCCGCCTTGCAACTAGTTGTCCCCAGTTTCTCTGTCGATGTACGCTAGGCTTTACACTTTAGTATCCGGTACCTGGTACATATCCCATAGCGACCTGTCCACAACAAACCAGTATCCATGGACATTCCTTGGTAACCATGGCTTCCAGTAGCACTCTGGCCAATCACAGGCAAAGCACTTTAGTACAAGCTTGGCCTGGTTAAAACAAGGGCCAAGCTGGAGCTAAGATAGTACCTGAACAGAGCAGAGGCCAAGTAGGAAAGTGGAAAGAGGGCTTAAGTTTCACTCGTGTTGAGATATACTGTTTTTCTTTTTTTAAAGCCATCTAAAACATAATGCTTGCAAACACATGAAATAGGAAGTTGTTTTTATCAAAACAATAGTTGAAGTAATGTCGATAAAAGGGGCAACAGTTTGTGACTCAGTCTCACAGTCAGATCTATAATGTCATCTGAGTTCCTCTTGTGCCAAATGACTCACAATACTCCACGGTTGATCCAATTTTTAAATTGATGAACTTACGACCAAAAACAAAAGATGTGAAAATACAGAATTCAAGCATCATGCACATTTGTTTGACAGATTCCCTAAAGTCCAGATGATTCTTGGAGGTGGAAATGTACTGGTGTGAGTCGGTGATTCTCTTTTATTTAAGGCATCCATCAGGACTTTGTCAGATGGTCCTTGCAGCCGACAGATTACTGTTTACCTGCAGAGAAGAGCGCAGAATTGCAGCTCCAAGCCCAGAGATGAGCTGTTCAGTGAGGAGAAACGGGGTCTCATTAGTCAGAATGTGGCGCTATGGGCGGAGAAAGCCACAGTGATGTTACCTGCCTAGAGCGGAATCACCATTGAAACAGTGATATTATATTAGAGGCTGAGCTCAGATGAAACAATATCCATTGCTGGATTACAGATGAGATTACAAAATCCTATAGGCCAATCACAAATACACATGGGGCCTGATACATTGTTATTAAAATGCAGTTGTTGTAATACAGCATGTTTCAAGTCTATAGGCAACATAAGAAAGGAAAGGTTCAGTATTTATGAATTTATCTTTTGGAAAAAGCAATGAATAAGATTAATCATATGAATCCACTGACAGAAGTAACTATAAAGACTATTTGTGCTGCATTGGAAGGCTAAAACCCATTTACACAAAGATTCAAATGTAGCTTTAGCATCTCATATTGTTGGTCACTACTTGGTATATTTCTGTGCATCTTTGTTCAAACTATCCTCGTTCACGTACGGTAGACTTCTCTGACTGCAAAAATACATGAACTTCCGCACTTGCTCACACCAAATGAAGTCATGTAGAAACCCACGTCAAACTCTCCCCTGGTGAGACTGTAAGGACATGTCATCCCCACACGACAGTCTGCGAGCAGTGGAGGCATTTCAAGGCTCCATGAAAGCATGAACTTTGTAATTAAAAATAATGCAGTGGGGGTTCTTTTACCGCACTTTTTGGACTCTCAAAGACGCTTCACAAGGCATTATTCATTCACTCCATACACATTTTAGGAGATCCTTTGCTCCTTCGGCTATAAGGCTGTACAACAGATCTGTCTTTGTTGAACATGTGCACCATTGTTTGTTAGAAACGTTTATAATTGATGACTTATGTGTTTGTGTGGATGTGTTTCTGCTGCTGGAAGTCTGAATTTTTCCTACGGGGTCAATAAAGTATCTATCTATCTATCTAGTTACTTTTATAAGTACTGGATGATATGCTTTTTACCTTTTGAAGCGCAACCTATTAGAAAAAAGAAAGTCTATAGTTACGAGTTACAATCAAATGAACTCAAGTTACATGCAGACTGAAATGTGTTTTGTTCCCTCAGTTTTTTTTCCCAATTCATTTGCAAATTCAAACCACTGTGGCACCTGTATCCTTAGGTCTATACTTTTGTCTTGTTTAAATATTAGTTTAGTATGAAGTCATTGTTAATTTATCTTGTGCTGTGTAATCCTTATTTCTACTGTCTGTAACTTGTGATGCAACACTGAAATGTCCCTACTGTGGGACAAATAAAGGATCTCTTAATCTTAATCTATCCCCAGGTGTGTGAGTAAATGGTCGGTGATGGTCGTAGCGGCCGACGTCACATACTGGTTGCGTCAGTTCTGTCAGTGTGCCCCAGGGCAGCTGTGGCTACCGTAGTAGTTTATCACCACTGTGCATGGAGTGAAAGAATAATGACATGTGAAGCGTTATTGACACCATAAAGTCACGCCATAGAATGTATATCAATCACGTTTATCTTTTATACTGTAACACATTATTCCAATCTCCAGGAATAATGGTTGGTATTTAGTGTAATGCCGAAAAACAGAATTTTCACATTTGTTCAATTTAGAATCCTCCATAGATTAGAAATGTCAGAATTTCCTGGTGTGGGTCAAATTGTCCAATTATAGAATATGTGTCCTTATTTGTAATGGATCCCTCAGGACGTCACTCATAAAGCATGAAATAAAAGCTCTCTATCTCCAACAAATGAGCTCACCTCAGGAATCCCAGTGGCACAAAGCTGTTATTCCAGACCACTGCAGTCATATTAACTGCTCTGTACCAAAACTGCTCCAAACTGGATATTAGCGCCATCTTGTGGGTGTAGCATTCATGTGACGTAGACAGTGGCATGGTGTAACTGAGGGCAATAGGTTCTTTCAATATTTACTTCCATTGTGTCACTGGGTAATACACTTTCCCCTGGTCGTAATGTTAGCAGACAGATGCTTGAATGTGGGAGCGGTGGTGGTTTCGCAATGTCATTACTTAGGCCTGACGACATAAACATGTGAGTGTGACTATTTGAACTCTATTTGTTTTCAACTTCTGTTTTAGACATGGGTGTCATAATGACACAACTGGTTTCATTTAAGATTTGTTTCTAAGAAATACCAAGGACAGTATCAGTCTGCGTATATTGTGTACCATGGAATATTTACAAAACAAATATAGATATGATAATAAAATAATAATACATTTTTTTGTATAGTGCTTATTGGACGCTCAAAGACGCTTCACATTTTTCATTCCCTCCCTGCAATGGTGATAAAGTATTGCTGTGTAGCCGAAGCTGCCCTAGGGCACACTAACAGAAGCGTGGCAACAAGCATGTGCCATCAGCCCCACCAATCACCTCCAAGCCTTCACACAAACCAGACTCATTCTATGCAAAGTAGGTGAAGTGTCTTGCTTGAGGACACAGCAGCAATTTCACAATATACAGCTGCCCCTCTGTGGCACATGGTGTTGCTAGAGGTCTTCCATCACAGTACTAACCAGGCCCTGCCCTGCACAGCTTCAGAGGACTGACATGGTCTAGATTTAACACACAGGTGGCGCCACATAGAATTTGCTTTAACTGTTCGACACATGCCCAGTTTAAAGCTTCACTAGAGAATGCTAACCAATGTAGTCATTATTATAAGAAATGTGTTTATTATTATTATTATACAATTTCACACATGAACAAAGATAGAAAATACATAAGAGTCTAGTGTGTGTAAACAGTCTGTGACGGCGTCTGGAAGAATTAAGACCATATTTTCAATCAGTTTGTCTCTATGCCGTGTCCTTTTTGATGTTGAACTCCAGAGAGCTTCTGAAACGTCCTGGGACCTCCTCTTCCTCTTCCTGCTTCTTCTTCTCCTCCTCCTTCTCCGTCTTCCCCTCCGTCAGTGCCTGTTTAGTGGCGGGGGCGTGGATCCGCAGTTGCCCGTTGTCCATGAGGGAGCAGGACAGGCCGCTCAGGTCCAGATGAGGGGGCAGCGCGATCCTCTGCATGAAGCCCATCTTGGCGGCGGCGGTGGACTGGTAAGCGGCGTGCGACGTGGATGAAGAGCAGGATTGGGAGTCCTCTGCACCAGCCTGCTTCAGAGCTGCCACCGCCAAAGTACGGCCCTCCAGCTTCACCGTGATGTCGCTGGGGGCATACCCTCGGGCGTCCAGCGTCACCAGGAGGTCACCGTTCTTCTGTGAGGCCTGCTGGACCTCCTTATGCGGATCTGTGCAGGACACGTCTCTGTGCTGGTCACCGTTGATTAGTCTGCACAAAGAAACAGTTGCCAGTTTATTTATCAATACAATGACTCCAGCATCAATATGATTTGTCCCTAAGTATAATCGTGTTAATCTTAGGGCACATTCACACTTGTCATTTTCCCAAGTGCAACAGAATTGGTCCAGTTAATGCTGGAAGTCCCAGACTGCTTTCAGTTTAGAAAGTGTAAGTACTCAGCAGTCATTTTGATGGCTCCATTCATTTTAATTGGTCGGAAACCAATATTCTACGGCAGTAAAAGCCCCTTTTGGTTCTGGACTGCTTTTGGTTCTGAGCCGAACAAGTAGAGTAGAACAACCTGAGTAGAACAAGTGCTCGTGACCATAGCAACACACTGTATACTTGCCAGCAGCGAAATGTGGCAGCCTTTCAACAAACTATTTATGCTGTATTTTAAGTTATATTTACCAGTTTTAGCACGTAATAAACATAAGTAAAGGTAAAAAAAATACTGTTAATTGACCGTTGATTTGAATAAAAGTGTCTTTATCCATCATCACCTCTAAAGTCAATGTTTTCCACAAAGTATTGTTGTTGATGTTGTTGATGTATGGACTCACCTTGGGAACGCTGAAGCCAGTAGAGGGAGTTGGGGACCATTGTGGAGCTCTGTGAAGAGGCTGTCTGTGAGTTTGGCCCTCCTGTTGAAGAAGTCCTGCTGTATGGAGGAGAGGGCCTCGGTGCGCAGGGGCCACAGCAGAGTTTCCTGGCTGAAGAAAGGGTCATCAGCAAACATACTGCTCAGGGCGCTCTGTTGAGACATCATGTTAAGATTCTACGTCTTGTGTTTGACCTGGAGGATCCTTGCGTCTGCTCTATATACCCGCAGCTGTCCGCTCCACGCCCCCTGAGCTATTTCCTTGCGGTGAGCTCAGCGCCGTAACCGTGAGCGCAGCAGTGGGGTCAGGAATGCCCCCAGACTCATCAGAGGGCTAAAGACAGACTCACGGTCAGATCCTGTTTGTGTGCACGGCTCTTTTCACACAGGGCTTTAAAAGTGCCACAAGATAACAGCTGTGTAGTTTGTAAAGAATGTTGAGGTATTTAAAGAGATAATGCTCAAGCTCTGCCTGGTAACTGCTGTTCACATGCTGCTGACAAAAGACAATAGGCATGGAACCTCATTCCAAAGGTTTTCTACTGTAAAAACAAATTCTATGAAGCTTGAGTAAAATCAAAGTTTATCCAAGAAGACTCAACACAGTGAACAGCTCAATCAGGAGTGGGAAATTATTTTCTTCAGGGGCCACATTGGGAGATTGCCCTTTTGGGAAGGGACAAACCTGATTTCACATGGCTAATTTTTTATTTAACAACATTTTGGATTCATGAATAAGAATAAATTCATAACATGGCATTGTAGCTTGACACAAGCCTTTGAAAAGTATGGATTCCCTAATCATTTAAATAAGCAACAGACTAGTATGAGGTTAACAATTGGGAAGTGTCCGAGGACCGCATAGAAAAGTGGATCGGGCAGGATGTGGCCCCCAAGCCGAACTTTTCCCTTGTCTGATCAAGATAGATAGTTTTGTTGCTATATCATTATTTAGGGGTTGCATGCAGAACTGTCTGGTCTTGTTAAGTTGTGTGTTTTGACTTATTTGCCTTATTCTTGTATGAGTGATATCTCACAACAGTGAAATAAAGCGATCACCGGGGTTTGTTTGATCAACTCAAATGGTTGGACTGCTCTGAGATAAGCCCAATGCACGGGAAAATTGACTACCTGAAAAACCAGTATTGTCATAAAAATGTGATCTTTGAGGGAATCCCTTGACTGGACATGGCAAACGGGGTGACTCAGAGGATAAAATAGGATTCTCAAAATTAACCAATGGACTAATTGACCAAACTGCGCCTGTTGGTGGAAGTCTGTGCTCTACGAATTCGCAATTGACCCAAATGTCCGAAAGGTATGAATTTGGTATTTTGTTATGGATCCTTGTGTGTGTGTGTGTGTGTATATGTTTGTGTGTGTGTGTGTGTGTGTGTGTGTGTGTCTGTGTGTCTGTATGAGCCAGAGAGAGAAATCATTGCATTCTTAACAGGAAGCGTCAAAGCCACTTTACCTTCTCCTCAGACTTAAGAGGACAAACATTTCTCCTCATTAATGACTCAACAAATTCAACAGCTAAAAGCAGTCCTGGTGTTTACATTACTGGCTGATGTCTTCATCCTTGTATAACACCATGAGCAGAAACTTACTGGTCAGCGAGCCCCAAGCGCCTAATGCAAAAACAGCATCAAGTTTCAATGAAGGAGACAGCTGCAAAAAAAAAAAGAAAAAAAAAGTGTGTCATAAAAGTGACGGGAGATTCCAGAGATCAAAAATAGAAAGGGAGATTCAAGATGGCCACCGCTGTTGAGTTATTCCGGTGCAGGTGAGATCACTTATTGGTCATTTTGAATAAATGACCTCATTTTTTAAATTTTCTTTATAATATAAATAGTGATCATCAGCAATTAAATATTACATCAAAAGCAAATCAACTAAATAAATGAGTAAAGTTACAAAACAATTAGTGTAATGCACTAAAGGCCAATTACAATACTTAATGAAGGCCATAAAGTTTCATTTATGTGACATGATAACATTCCAAAGCGCTCCTAGTTTAAATTGTGGTGGTGGACAGCTGAAAAAACTCCTGGTGGTTTCTATGGTAATGTGAGGTCTCCAAGATGTCTGCCAATTCAGATCACTTTCGCACATGTATTCTAATGTGGTTTTACTTTAACTGAATATGAATCTAAAAGACTTGGCATAAGTAACTTTGCCTATAATGAGTCTGTATCATATATTGGTCTCACATTTTAAGTTGACTAACTTCAAATTAACAAAACAAAACAAAATAAAAAGATCCTATCATTGGTTTATATTAATTGTAACGTTATAGTTGTGATTTACCCATTGACTGGAGAAGACAAGAACAAAATGGATAGGCAAAGACCAAAAAGTGGTAGGCCGAGGCGCCACTAGTGGTGTGCAGGAGCCAATGTGACACAACAGCGCCATCTGCTGGGCGAAAGAGCTGCGTGTATCAGCCACTTTCACTCACGCGTCTCCCCCCGGTCTCCAGTGTCTGCCACGTTCCTTCTCACTTTACTTTCTGTCTCACGATAAAAAAATTAAAAAAACACAGTAACAAAAAGATCAGTTGAACAGCGCGGATCATATATGTGTGTTTGGACAGTGCATGGCAGCCCTTTCAACCTTTCAGAACTGAAAAACTTGGAAAAGAATAATGAAGAGGTATTCCAGACTTTAAAAAACTATAACTTGCAAAGCAGAAAAGATTAAACTATACAATAAGGAGTTCTTTATAGCAGTGTTTTTCAACCTTTTATAGGCCAAGGCACACTTTTTTCCTTGAAAAAATCTCACCACACACCACCAGGAGAAAATGTAAAAATATACACTCTGTAGCCCATATTCACAAATATAAAGTCATTCTCATCAGAGTGCTTAAATAAACATCCAGGCCTTGACATTAAGCTTTGTTTAATATTTCTCAGTACAAAGAGTTAACAAAAGTTTGGGAATAAAGTGGCACTAATTGTGGAAAAAAACATAACAAAATCCACTCTCAGCTGTCCACGAGTCCATGGTTCTGTCCACGGTTCTATCTGCGCGTCCAAGGTTCTATTCCTCGCGTCCGTGGTTCTATCCACGAGTCCATGGTTCTGTCCATGCGTCTAAAGTCTGCGCTCGGTACTACAGATGTGTGATCGCTGAGCTGTTGTCAAAGCGGCTGTCAGTACAACGCGGCCACAGCTGCCCTGGGGTCAGAGCGGAGGATGTGAATCCTGTTCAGAAATGGCATAATTCGATAGGCCGAGGATGAGAGGCAGGCTTGGAGGGGATAGCTTTGGCAATCAGTCTTCCAGAGTGAACCTTCGCGACGCTCCATTTGCGTCCAATTCTTATGTTTCAAAGTAATTTGCTATCTGCTGTCACTTACTGATGTGAAAAAGTATTACGTGGTTATCCACAGTTCAAAAGGAGTCACTCGCCAACGCTGGATACATTTATTTTTAGACAAAGTAGGCAAATTTCTCACGGCACACTAGTTGAAAAACAGGGGTTGAAAAACACTGCTTTATAGCACTTAGCAGGTTCGCTCTTAGTATTCAGTTCCCACCATGGATGTATTATATTAACTGGATAGGGTATTGCTAGCTTATAGCTGAATAACCCATGTGCTCAGGGGATTCTCGCGGTACTGCAGACTAGACCAGACTAAATTCACGTGGGCCACCCAGAAAATTTTCCCATAGAACTCAATGCATATTAAAACAGCTCGACCTCAGCTGACAGAGAACCTACAGCTTTCATTAAGGTCGGATTTTGTGGGGATTTTAGTGCCCCTTGTCATCCTGAACTTTTTTTCTTTTTAAATCAATAGGTTTTCTTTTAATCTTCACTTTAGTGCAACAAACTCTGCTCTCTTTTTCCCGCTCTTCCGCCGCTCTAGCATCCGCAGCTCGCTGATTGGTCAAGACGTTGCCAAGCCCCTCTGCTCGCGTGCATGAGAACCATACGAGCGTGCGTTCCTCGCGTGAACGCGCTCCATTCGGCTCTGTTGATGACAGAGGAGCGAGGGAGGAAACTGAACCGAACTGACCAGATAAACACGAAATGTACATTGACAGCATTGTTGTGGTTATTGTTAGCTTCATTAAGAGTCTATGTATGGTCTTTCCTACAGCGTTTGGAGTCGTGTGAATTCGTATGACAGTCATTTATACCAATATGAGTACAATAAACATAGCTATTGACTTTACAGCGTCCATATCAAAACCGAACTCAAACGTGATGATTACACAAGAGCTGGCGAGAGAGTTTAGGTATTCACCATGAATGTTGTAACCCTGCCAGTCAAAGGCAGCACAGACACACACATTTTAAGTAAATGCATTCATGTTTTGCTGTAATACATGTGGCAAGTGCTAATGCAGATTAGGATTCACATTGTAATTTAAAATAAATAAATAAATATTCAGTTTTCTACTCATGGTCATTGTAAATCAAAAATGTACAAATCTCATCTTAATTACATAAAATCGAAACATATTTAACAACAACAAATGCAACTTGTTTTTTATAATTTAATTTGAAAATATAAATATGATAACTTATAAATAAATACACAGTAACATAATTTCCAGAGTTAAGCAAATGAAATAGATATACATACTTGAATATCCTATTATAGACAGCTGAAACAAATACGTGGCTTAACTAGTTTTGTTTTATTTAACCAGAAAAGTCCCATTGAGATAAAGAACCCCTTTTTCAAGGGAGTCCTGAATATATACTCTACCGTTCAAAAGTTTGGGGTCACATTGAAATGTCCTCAATGTTGAAGGAAAAGCTGTAGATAACTTTAAACTAGTCTTAACTGTAAAGAAATACACTCTGTACACTGCTTATGTGGTAAATGACTGCTGTTCTAGCTGCAAATGTCTGGTTTTTGGTGCAATGTTGTAATTGCTGCAAATGGAGGATTCTTTGACAAAAGCAAAGTTGGATGTAAAACAAATCTTATTTCTAATACAAATCATTATTTCTAACGTTGTCAATGTCTTGACTCTATTTTCTATTCATTTCACAACGTGTGGTGGTGAACAAGTGTGACTTTTCATGGAAAACACACACACACATATATATATATATATATACATACATAATGTGTGTGTGTATATAGAGAATAATACTTATTAATTACGTTAATATAATAATTACAATTCACGAGGACAAAAGACTAAATCATAGCTTTTTGATCTATCCACAATGGTCTTAATTATCTTGCAGTACTTGTTAACACATCACTGACATTTTGCTTAAAACACGACGGCCTACAGGTGAATGCCACAGTATAAGCGTTACGAAAAAGTATATAATCATTGTACATTTAGCTTATCATAAATACTTAGTAGATAATGATTAAGAATCAACAACAAGAAGGCTCTGTCATACTGCTCTACACCATCTTAAAATAATTGATCAATTGTACATATATTTTAATATCAATCTTTACTTAAACAGTGATAGAACTAATTCGCTCGATTCATGCGCGTTCACGAGTCTGTGGTGCTGCACGCTCCCGCTTGAGGTCCGCGTTCTCGTCGTTCGAGGCACAAAGCATTATGGGAGGTCATCCACTGCGCATAACCGGGAGGACCAGAGGATGCCCAAATACAGGCGATTTTCCCATAGATCTTTGCGAGTTTCAGGCAACTTCCGCTAATCTTTCAGCCCCCATGCCGTCACAAAGCGCCACTGAGCACAACCATTCATTTGAATAGGCCGCCATCTTGAATCGCCGGGGCTTGGTTCCCACAGACCAATGAATGTCACATGACCTCCTCGGAGACGCCATCTTTGATGGCACGCTGCTGTGTTTGTGCATTCCATTAAACAGAAGAATGAGAATAAATGTAGATATTCAAACGCAAATTGGAAAAAAAAGGGCAACTTTTGAGCAAATAATTGTATATTAATACAATGGCACCACAGTTTAACGTGCTACGGACATGTTTTACATATTTGATAAAATTATGCAGCAAAAATTAACAAGCAATGCAAACATTTCTCAAAAACTTTAGATTTAATACCAGTTGGAGCTCCATTTAATTATTTTAATTATATTAACAATTAATTTAATTAATGCTAATGCCACACGGACACTCTGGATTGCTGTTATTGTTTATTTCCGCGTTTTTGACCGTATGTTTTGGTGAATGGTGGGCACCTGATTTTTCCAGGCGTAAAGAGTAAGTAAGTAAGTTTGTATTTATATACCGCCTTTTCACTGCAGATCTGAGTCTCAAAGCGGTTTACAATTGTCAATTTTTGGGCATTTGTCTCTCACTCCACACAGAGATGGGAGCGGGGTCGCCAGTACAGGAGGCGCATGCCAGAACTATTGGACATATTTTTAGTGGTAGGGGAAACCGGAGTACCCGGAGGAAACCTACGCAGACACGGGGAGAACATGCAAACTCCACTCAGAAAGGCCCTGGTCCGACCGGGATTCGAACCCAGGACCTTCTTGCTGAGAGGCGAGAGTGCTATCCACTCAGCCACCGTGCCGTAAAAGAGCAGTTTATTTTATGACACAGATCTTTTTACAGAAGCAATGCTGTTTGTGAACATTGTTTTAGCCCACCATAGAACTATTATTATCTATTATTTACGTTGCCCTCGAGAGCCTCGGACGCGACACCGATCCTCCTCATAATAAAGTAATCTAACGCTAAATAATGAAACTCTCAAGTTACCAGCTATCAGCATACACAAGTTAGTACTGAGTAATTTACGTCTGTCAACACATAAGATACGATACGCACCTGACACAAAGTGCTCCGAGCATATTCTTGCGTGTTTTGAGGGAGTTTCTTGCCTGTTTATCTTCGCAAGCCATAACCTCCGTGGTTGTTCTGACAAAAGCTTAGTCTTCTCACATTCATGAAGTCTAATGATGGGTATACTATAAAATCCAAGTTTAACGGAACCTCTGGCACGATTTGAACATCCATTGACCCAGCAGGAGATGACCATTTTCAACTTTATCACGACATTAACACGTTTCAGCTTCTTTTTCTATTGTTTTGCTCACAGCATGCCAAGACAAATGGCGCCGGGTCGGCAAATCCCCGTATGTAGTGACGTCATGTAGGAACTATGTATTGTAGTGATTAACATATAAAACATAAGTTAGAAACACAAAACAATTGATCAATATCTACTGTAAATAATTTATTATAAATTAGAATTAGTGACAAAACATGCAGTTTTAATGCATGCTAGTGAAAGAATGAATGAATGTTAAATTTATTTACAAAGCTATAGTGTAACAGCCATGGATCTATTAGAATAACAGCTGCTAGCTAAGTTTTGCTAGTTAAAAATATATGAGATAATCTATGTATCACTTTAAATAAATTTGACTTTCCTATTTGTTCAGTGTGCTAGTAAGAAAAAAGAAATTCTTACACCCAAAGTGTCCTGTTAAGAATATATTTTAAAATATAAACCGCAGAGGCCCACCAGCAGAGGGAGCCATTGTCCGAACATCATGTGCATGTGGAAATAAGTTATCTTTATAAAAAAACAGAAATAAAATGTATAAGGATATGAATCACTGCGGCTCGTACATGTGAGATGAGCACGCGCCTACCTCTTGTTGCTATGTGCGGGTTGCTAGGGCCAGTGCATCTTTTGAATCACTGCATCCGTGCAAAACTTTGGCTGAGACACAAACTCTTTTGGTCAAACTTCACTAGACGATTTCTTCAAACCGGAGACATCACTGCAGACCATTTCCTCACAGACTGCTGCTGACCCACTAACAGACTTTTCTAAGGCAAAAACTTGAGCTTTTCCTCTTTCCCTGTTCACTTCAGTCCCTGTGTTACTTGCACAAAGACAGTCGCAAAATAGCAACAAAAAACACTTTGATCTGTGTCTAAAGCAGGTTTTACAGAGCGATTACGCTGGGTATAATAAAAATTACAATAAGTGTAAGAAATCAAAGTCTTAAGAGTCTGTAAAACTGTCAGCTGCCGTTAATTTTAAAGATGGCTACTCCACCTCTGCTGCTTTGACCCGTCCTGCTCCACCCAGAGGCTACTCCATCTCTGCTACTGTGACCTGAAGGCCTGTGGCTGATTATTACTATTGCTATCTTTTTTAGAATGATACATTTTCTTATTTCTTTTTGCTACTACTGGACACCTGAATTTCTCCTTCGGGGGATCAATAAAGTATCTATCTATCTATCTATCTAAAGGGTCTGTATGCACAAACTGCTCTCAGCATTAAAGATGCCATACCCGATTTCTTTTTTTATGAGTTTATAAAAATGTTTATTACTACATACAAGTTGTATTATAATCCGTAATTTCATTGAACACTTGAGCTCATTGATTCAACTTGTGTATGAATTCAGGCCGTAAATAGTACTGAGTAGAGACTAGCGCGACTGAGAAAGACTGAGAACTGGAGTAGGAATCTCATTTATGTCTCCTGAAATAAAACTCAGAAGAATTTGCGCAACTCATTTTTTCTCTTGGATGTATCTTTAGATCTTCAAACTGGGCCTGGTTGCTTTGAAACTTTACTTATGGTATCATTTGCAAACAATACAACAAAAGCACTATGAATCTCAGTTTATTAGAAGGCTGTTGTCAAAAATGGCTCAAAGATCACAAGAGAGCCTGAGCTCACTGTCCTCAGAGTACAAGATGTTAACCCGGAGAAGGCTTAGCGTCTCGCGAATTTGATTGCCTCAAGCATTCTTTTATACAAACATGTAGACTCTCTGCTCACAAATACTCTGGTTCATTTTCACCAAATCAAGTTAACAATCCTGCCTTTAATCTGATTTTTATAATCAAATACACCTTTTCACTCCTTCTTCTGTCAAAGAGAAATAATTAAGAGTTTAAAATCTTATCTTATGGACATCAAACCATTGAATACACAAAACAGAAATATACTGATAGTAAATATTATTGCACCGTTATGTACAACATCCATGCAACATTTATCATGACACTTTGTGGATCTCAAAGCACACTGTGATATACGACACATTGTTCCAGTTCTATAATATGACAATAATATAAAAATAGCATTTTAAGAAATATATTTTATAAATATTTTGTATTATATAATTTTTTTCAATGTCAAAGGAATCTAAACAAGGAGGCTGATGAGGCCTACCATGATCTATACATTTGCATAAATTTTTTCCTGCTCCTCAGATTCACTTTCACTTTCACACTCATCATCATCATCACCATCTTCATATCTGTTGTATTTCACGCTGCAAGTCTCACCATCTTTCACATAATTTAACTGACACTTTGATTCTTCTCTTTCAGCTTTGACACGGCCATGCTCTTGGTATAGATTACTTCTCATTGGAGCGTTGGAGTCAAGTTTGTTGCCTTCATATGTCGCTGCATCAACATTGACATAGTCTTCCTGGTCGTCGTCACTGTCTTAAAGATCCTGATTTCCGGCCACATTCACTGAAAAAGAAAAAAATCCACATTAATATATACAAAGTGTGTGTGAAACTTAATTTAAAAACATGTGAAAGAACAGACTCTGTGCTCGCGTGGTGCTCTGTGATCGGTGACCTTGGGATCTTATAGACCAAAAACAGAGCAGTGACACCAGGGCTATCGGGAGAACACTTACACCCACTGCAATGGCCACCGGCACCATCGAGGGCACTAGAGGAAACAACACAAAAGCATATCTCCAACAGTCCATATGTGTGCAGGCCTCTGATGCGTCGATTTTCTTGTGAAAGCTCTCTACCACTTGTTATGTTTATTGTCTGCCCTGCCCTTAAGTGTCCCCCCCCCCCCCCACATCCAAAAAAGCAAAACAAATGTTAAAGGTTTTTACATTAGGAGGATTTTCCATATTTTTAACCTAAATTTAAACCTAACCCACTTTTTTTTAACAAACTCTCTGATCTTATGTGACGACCACGTATTACCTGAATTATTGACAATTGGAAGGGGAGGACCAATGTTTGGGTTTCATTTACCTGGCCTGTAGGGGGCGAATGAGCAGAGATGGGACAATTCAGTTTTGCTCCCATTGAAAACAATCTTGTCTGTTTTAGTGTCACAAGGCTGTGCGGTGTACCGTTATTGTAACAGTCCTAATCGGCTCAATTCTAAGGGAGTCCTAAAACATATTTCTCCAAAGAGACTTGATTTCGAGAATTTTTGGCAAAAAGTAACATAAGAAATTGCTACTTTTCATTTGAGTGGCCTTGATCCACCTCGCCCGCCTCATTTGAGTGATTTTTTAAAAATGTACGCCTTTATATGAGACCACAGACCACAGAAGAAACTCTTGTCTTTCTCTCTCTTCGCGCAGTTGCTAAAATCATACACCAGACAAAAAGATGGCATTTTGAGAGCGCTTCTTCTTTTACTATATCTCCTTGTCTATACCCGGCCGATCCACCCGGAAGTAAAAAAAATCCTCCTATATACTGTACATTTAAGACACAACAGCCGCTAACTAGCTCCCTGTTAACTGGTGTCCACAGTGCGGGGGTTTCAGCCAAAAGAAACATCACTAAATTGTAACGTGTTCACCACCTGTGAAAAACATTGCTTATTAGTGTTGATCTAGTGTAATCAATCAATTAATCACTTTATTTATCCCCAAGAGGCAATTACAAAGCAGACGTAGACGGTCACTACACAATTGCAAGGGGAATTTGACTTCCTGGACCAAGATAGCTCCACCCATTTCACAGCTTCATACCCTGTGCTCCTCTTCTGTTGTCAAGATATTGGAATGACACGGGTAATTATTTTAGAAATTTGAATTGCATTTAGGAAATAAAACACTTTTATATTAGCCACTGACCAATGGTTTAGCACTCTGAAATGTATCGCTTTCATTGTATAATTTAGGGGAGAATGCATAATTTACTGATTTAGACAAAACAATCTATTCCCATGTGGTTTTACTGCAAATGGCAAATAAATGAATCTGAATCTGATCTGACAAAGTTAGTCCCCTTTGTTTTGGGGGACCAACTCAGCTCTTGTTGAGTCTTGCAAGCATTCAAAATTAATGTCTGAATATTACGTAACATTGCAACATCTGTAATTAAAATGAATAAGCACTTAAATAAAGTTTGCTAGATGTAACTGTTGTTTAACAGCGACCATGTTATATGGTGAACTGTGTATTTAAAGAAGCTGTACCCAGTTTATTTTCTAATGAGTTCATAAAAATGCGTATTACTACATACAAGTTGTATTCAGGCCGGAAAAAATGCTGAGTAGAGACTTGGCGTAACGCTCGTTCTCCTCCAAGAAAAAAAATAAAAAATAAGTTCATACAGTTTTGGAGTGCCACTGAAGTTGGGACAAAGGAGAGCTTGAAGTGGTTCGTCCTGTGTCTCACAGCTGGTATTTATCATCATTATGTCACACTTACATTGAATGATGTGAATAGAGGCTGTTTGTGAGGTGTAGGTGCGGCTGGCCCCAGTGAGCTGGAACACACAGCTGTAGAGGCCCTGGAGCTTCTGCTGGAACTCAGGGAAGTGAAAGGAGGCTGAGTGGTTGACCGAAGGCTCAGAGATGGAGCTGTTTGAGCCAGGGAAGCTCAGTGTAAAGAGGCCTTCTGGGATATCTGAGGGAACGGAGCAGAGGAGAACAAAGCTTCCCCCTTGAGGAACATGGCCGATGTCTGAGGTGCACTGTCCCTCAGCAGGAGACGACACACACAGGCTGGGGGTGGGGGGGAACACTGTGAACATATCATATCATATCAGACTTTAAAAGCTGTAAAGTGCTCCTGCAGCTGTAAAGTCATAAATTGTTGTTTCCTCAGACAAGACACTTCACCCCGAATGAGTTTGTTGTGTGTGAATGGTAGTGGTGGTCTTATGATTGCTTCTGTAAGTATGGCTAAAGTAGTAGTTAATCACCACAATGTAGGGTGTGAAAGCAAGATGCCATGTGAAGTGTCGTTGAGTGTCCAAATAAAGCGCTCTATTAAACAAATGCTTTATAAAAACCGATGCTTTATGAAAATAATCTGATTGTATGTCCTGTGAACTGAAAAGAAATTCAGCTAAAGCAGGAATTCAGACTGGAAGACGGGAGAACTGGGCTCACAGCACTCAAAGTCCTGCTGTTGCTCATAGCAACAACAATCAGTCGATCACTCTCAGCTACAGCGCCACACGCAAATCCTCACCTGCAGCAATCAGGTACTGCCCGCATCAGCTTCCTATTGCGCAGAAACTCCATCAAAGCCAGCTCCTTCATCCTTCTCCTAGCTACCACCACCAGGGTCTTTGCTCCGGTGGATTTCATCTCATAATGTCTTCTGTACAGCACAATAAATCTAATCTTGGAAATATGGTTCTCAATCATTGTATAATTTATATAGTGTCAGAATACTAGCCAATCAGTATACAATTCTAATTTCCATGTTTTGTCTGTTCGTGTGCAGATTGAACGTTATTTATAGTGTAATAATAACATGGCAGTTCATGTGTGCTGTCTCCAGCAGTCACTTCAGTTGTACAGCTTTGTGTGAACAAATGTAGATGTTCATCATTACCTACTTGTCATACTTACTGTGTTACTACAAACAACCAAACTCAACTTGTATTTTCTTCCAAACTGGTCAGACCACTCTAATGTACTGTAAGTGTACATTTACAATCATCTCAGTGCATGGCTTTCAAGGAATTCCATGGATAAATATACATAACACACACATTTACACTGCTACTGTATGTGCTGTAGTTTACCTGACACAGGAGATGGAGAGTTACTGAGTGGAGAGGTGAGGCTCTGACCTGAAAAGCCTTTCTCATACAGACAGCAATGTGGTCCTTCACTCTGGGAGGTCACTGGAGGTGAGTATGTTGCGGTGCTTGAAGTCTGAATAACTTTCTGAATAAATTTCTGTGTGAGAACATTCCTCCTGTGATCTGAGCCGAGTTGGTACAAGTGAGCACCACTCAAGTTTGATCCCACATGAGCTCCTGAGTGGGCTTCACAGAAATAATAGGCTTTGGAATATTCACTGAAACATACCATCAGGAGTCCGTTATAATTCATGTGAAATTTGAAATCTGAAACTGAATTTATACATATTTGTGCCAATTGAGAGTGTGATGTCATATTTTCGTGCATCTGCACCTTTTTGGTTTGGTTTTCAATGTGAAATATTTCCTTCTTCAAAATTTGAATAACATTTTGTTAACAAATGTGTTTTATACATATTTGACATCACAAAACAAAAAGAAAAACATCTTTTTGGACTCACCCGTGAGAACAACAGAGTCACTTTTAGGGGATTGGAAGACTTCATCTAAGAGATCGATCTGGTACACACAGTGATACGGCCCCTTATTGTCAAAGGTCACTTGGGGCAAGATGAAAATTGCTGGATTGGAGCTTGAAATCAAAAGATACTGCTTGAAGCGTTTCAGGATGAATGTTCCTCCTGAGTAGCCGGCTAAGGAACAGGTGACGCTGGCGTTCTGGCCCCATGTGAGCTTCAGAGGAGACACGGACATTTGGGGAGGCTGCTTTAAGAACTCTGAAAAAATAAACAGATCTTGTGTCAAACCACGTCCACTTTAGATATAAATAAATAAATAAATAATACCTGAGCACAGCACCCCAGCATCTTCACCGTGACCACAATCATGCGATCCAAATGGTTTGTGGCTACAAAGACTTAAAGAGTTCTCATTTCCGAAACATTCCACATCATCGAGCCAGATCTGACCAGAGCCTTCTCCAAGACCGGCTTGACCTACGGCCTGTACGGCTGATCCACAGCTCGACTGTCTGCACACCACCTCAGCGTCAGACTCGTCCCAATCATCGTCACACACTGTTCCCCATTCATCATTATGGAGGATCTCCACTCTCCCAGCACACCGGTAAGTACTGTTCAGTCTGATCTGATCCCCTGTTCAGATAGTGCAGTACAGTGAATGTGTTTCAAATCATAATACAACATTTAGTAAAAAGCTTTTTATTCTAGATAACATTTTCACGTCATATTTGGAGAAACTACATATTTCATCTTCTTATTTCATGAAATTGTCGTCCATCAAAGTGTTATCCATCAGTAATAATAATAGTAATGGTAATAGTAATAATAGTAATGGTAATAATAATATAAATAATAATAATAATAGACATAATAATAATAATAGAAATAGTAATGATAATAGTAATAATAATTATAGAAATAATAATAATAGTAATAATAATACAAACCTGAAGACAAAGGCAGCATAAGAAGCAACAGCACTGTGGGGAAGAGGAACATTTATTTATAAGCATATTTCACACATGCCTGCAACTCGATGTGGTTCAGAAAGACAGTGACAAAAACAAAGACTTAAAATACTTCACACAATCCAATTACAAAAAGTTCAAAGAAGTGGGTCTTTAGTTTAGACTTCAGTGTCTATTTGATAGCAGTAGGTAGAGCACTGCATTTACAGGGAGCGTAATGGGAGAAAGCAGTTTCAACTACAGGAAGAATAACGTACAAACTTACCCTTTACATCAACCTTAACTTTAACTTTAGCATTTCAGCCTCAGTCAAGGCTTTATAAACAAATAGAAGGATTATGAAGTTAATCCGAGCCCAAACTGGGATCCAGTTTGAGATCTTTTTGTAGTTAATCAATTTTTATGTCCATTACAGCTTTATTTGTAAAGCACATAAACAACACCAGTTACCCAAAGTGCTTCACATGCACAAAAGAAAAAATAAAATAAAGTCTGATCGCAACCTGGATTAGAAAGATGCTTTACTGTTTAAGAGGACAACATGAAAAAAAATGCACTTATCTAGTTTATATGATTTTCTGTATACTGAAGAAGATGAGCCAAGTCTGGGATCGCGTCTTTCATTCAGACAAAAGACAAGTTTTATTGTCGATGGTAGAGACAGCACGAACAACACGAACAAAGGATGTAACAAACTGTTAGTGATAATATAGCATGGGAGAATGAAGGCCTCCAATCAGCAGCTGCCACGGTGCCATGTAGCTTGGCCTTCAGAAGTCAAAACAAGGGAAAAGTACTGGCTTCTGCACATTGATAGAATGATGAGTTTGAACTTTAACAAAAGTTGCTTAAAAGAGTTATGAAATCTCACAATACCTTATTCTGTTTTAACTGGTTTACACCGAGAGCCAAAGCAATTTCCTTCACTGTGACTTCTTGTTACTCACAATGGCAATGAAAAATTCTAATTCTCTCCATGCACCGCGCACAAACATGAAATAAGTAAATATAATATTCTGTTCCTTACCGAAGCACAAGCGTCTGTGTCGTGTGGCAGCCATAACCATCAAGTGGAAACTGAAAGACTGCACGTTGGTGATCGACGAGACGTTCCTCTTTTAAAACAATATTTCACACGTGCATCATTTCGGATCCATCTCTCAATGTGGATCTCCCCGAGGTTTCTCACTTTACTCCCACTGGGTTTTAGAGTTTTTCCTTGCCAATGCAGGAGGGTCTGTTGGACAGGTAAAGTGTCTAACAAGAAGGACTGTGGTGATGATCCAGGACACTCTATATTCCACAAAATTCATGGACATTGGTCTCTCCATTTGGTTAAAATACATATGTATATTTTTTGTGCCTTAACTGTTGATTCTCTGATCTGTGTTGGTGATTTCAATGGTTAAGTCCTCTGAGATGACTGAAGTTGTGATTTAGGGCAATATAAGAAAAGATTGTATTGCATTATATTCTCCTCATGAAATACATTTTGTTGAGCTCAATCAAAGTCAATGAGCTCCTGGACAGAGGCAGGGTAGAAGTGTGTGCCCAAATAAAAGTGTCATGAAAAATCCATAGATCTTCAGGTCAGAGGCTTGAATCCAACACAAACATTGCAATATTATTACTGAAAATACATTTTATTTATATGGCGCCTCTCTATGCATTCAAGGTTTCCATACAAGGGATACAAAGCAGTTAAATGCATACACTTGGTTGTTCACATACAGCATTTCTAGGATTAGGGTGAAAGTCAAGGTTGGGGTTTGAGTCACGGGATGAAATCTGATGCAAAGTGTTGATAAAAGAATTGCGGGATCAAAGGGATGAAGGAATAGACATAAGGCTGAGGGATCACAGGGCTCACACCAGACATATACTTAGAAATGTGAAGTTTCTTGTCAAGGCCACCAATTCCTCTTTCTCTTCTGCGGTGCAAAAAATGTCAACTTATGTAGAAAACACATACTTGTTTCTGCTTTTTATTCATGTCACAGAGGAACTTTCAGCATTTCTTTTTCTTTGCTTTGACTTTATTGGCATCGAAACTATTGCACAACAATAAAATATTCCAAAAATTAAGCCAGATCTTGTGAGAGTAATATAGTGTAGCGATAGTAATTCATTGTTAAGTAAATAATTGTTTGTGTTTCCAAATGCCACAGTGGCTGTAGAGCAACCAGAAAGAATAACAACTTAAACCTTGATGAAAACTGTCCTTAAAAGTTTTCATAAATATTGTCATTGTCTTCCCCATAAATGTCCAGAGTGCATCGATCATTGACCTCTCCTATGTTCACATAATCCGGCTCCTCGCTGCTGTCCTCGTTCTTTCCTCCAGGAGCGTTCACATAGTCATCCTCCTCTTCATCATCTGACTCTTCATAACGGTTCACGGTTGTCACTGGAACATTATAAAAAGCCAAATTAATGTAAAATAGCCTTCTGTAGAGAACTATATTTATCTTTAGTATCGACTTTTTTTTTTACGTTTCCTCGTTCAGGAGGTATCATGAACTCCATGCCATTTTATGTGAAATAATTTGGGAAAACAAACAGTATGAATAATATTTTTACCAGATAAAAAAAAAAGTCAATCAGAGTGAACTAACTTGTAATGTTTTTTCCTAGTTAGTCCTGGATCTACAGCCTCAGTCCTGGACCTACAGCCTCAGTCCTGGACCTACAGCCTCAGTCCCATACAGCCTCAGTCCTGGACCTACTGCCTCAGTCCTGGATCTACAGCCTCAGTCCTGGACCTACAGCCTCAGTCTTGGATCTACAGCCCCAGTCCAGGACCTACAGCCTCAGTCTTGGATCTACAGCCCCAGTCCAGGACCTACAGCCTCAGTCTTGGATCTACAGCCTCAGTCCCCAGTCTACAGCCTCAGTCCTGGATCTACAGTCTTTGTCCTGGATGTACGGCCTCAGTCCTGGTTCTACAGCCTATCCGTCTGTGGGAGTGGATCACTCTCTTAATTTGCTTCCACAAGGTTTCTCACACATTTTTGGCCTAGTCGTTCCTTACAAACAGAGGAGGGTCTAAGGACAGTGATGATCCAGGTCTTTGGACATTTGTGCACATTCATTTACTTTGATGGACAGTGGTCCTACCATAAGTAAGTTAGTAATCTTTATTTATATCGGCTTTCACAGACCAGACTCACAAAGCGTTTAACAATTGTGAGCATTTGTTTCCCACTCCACATAGAGAGTGGGGTTGCCAGTACAGGAGGCTCATGCCAGACCTATTGTACATGTTTTTTGTGGTAGGGGAAATTGGAGCACCCGGAGGAAACCTACGCAGACACAGAATGCAAACTCCATTCAGAAAGGCCCTGTTCTGACCAGGATTCAAACCCAGGACCTTGGGTGTTATTTACCCAGCCCCCTATCTGAACAAGCAGCCTAATTGGATTCAGTGGGTTCTTATCCAAGTCCTTACCAGAGCCAGACTATCTTAGCTTCTGGATTTGATTATGCAAGTCTATTGAGAAGGAAAGTGTGTTGTGCAGCCATTCAATATGCTTGTCAATTCAATATCCATAGAACATGTGAAACTTAGCTTCTGAGGTCCATCCCATCAACGGACCAGCTCAGATCAAGCTGCACGCCCACTTGATCTGAGCTGGTCCGTTGCTAATGGTTCAAACTAAAGCAATAGTTCACAATCAGGCACTGAGTATACCTTTGACATTAAACTGCAGTGTTTGCTTCTATGTACTGGTTGTAGCACAGGATTTCTAAACATACTGGTATTCAGAGCTGGGGTTGAGGTTACAAACTTGGCTACACGTCGTCTTCTTCTCCGACAAAAGTAAAACCCAATCAAGATGAGAAGTAGCAGACTGACAGCGACCGTGGGGAGGATGATAGGCAGCAGAGGTTCTGTACAAAAGGAAAATACTGTAAATCTGTGGATCTACATACAGTAAGAGTATATGTGATTAATAGTTACCCTACTGCTATAGATATTGGATATTCAAAACAACACAAAAGAGTATAATTAATACTGTGCTGAATTTTTACCTGAAGCTTTAGTTCAGACTAGAAGACTGGTATCAACCTGTGAGAACGATCTCCACTTCCTCCTGCTTCACACCTGTGCCTTCAGTTTGTACATTTACACACCCTATAATGCCAGTCTGCATTTAAACAGTGCGTTTCGTACTTCTTCGCAGTTTCAGCTTGTACTACAACCCTCCTCCTCCCAATCACAACCATAACAGTACTTTTTTGCATATTATTGACTGGAGTAGGGATTCGCACATCAATACCTACAGATTGGGTGCGTAGGAGGAGAGGCCAGTATAGCCAAATGTCATATAGAGAAAAATCCCGCACACCGTCTTACTTGCAAATGAAAAAATATTTATTTAAATTGCGACGTTTCGGCATTATGACTTCATCAAGCAAACATGAAAAGAGCACCAGGAAGTCCTCTTAAATAGGGTGGGGCATGCACAAAAAACACATGAACCACTAGGTGGAGACATTCAAAGATAGCAGTCAGACAGAATACAAAAAAAAAAAAAAATATATATATATATATATATATATATATATATATATATATATATATATATATATATATTTATATAATATTGACGAGTGGACGAGATGCGATAACAGGGCTCTGTTGGAATGCTACTACTCGAGTAACCCTGGCCAAAGAGGTTACATGCAGAGAATGCGGGCTGAATGGTTACTTCGAAACCCACAGTCACAGTTGACCCCGAAACAACTGGTAGCTCAATGCTCCAACATCCACAAACGGCAACTGCTATCACAGCTTGAGATTGATGAAGTACAACACATGTATGATGCCACAGTTGCCGAGGTCAGAGGGGAGATCCCACCAACTGCAACTCCCCAACCAGATATTGGGTACATAGCCCCAATGGAACCGATAACGCTGAACGAGGCAGCGACTGACCTGAAAGCTAAGATCATGGCTAGAATGGGCACAGGGCAAAGACACCGGTTACAGCGGTTGTGTGAAGTACCACCTAAGGATCTCATAGAAAGCGTGAATGCAGCAGTGAGGGCAATACCTACCACCACAATCACTGAAACCAATGAGCTGATATACACTTCAGCAGCAGTGATCCTAGAGATGCTTGGCTATAAGAGCAACCATGGGAGCCATGGACAATACCCACCATGGAAAAGACGGTTGGAGGCTAAGATCAAGGCGGCTCGGAGAGAAGTGAGTCAATTAACAGAGGCCCAGAGAGGTGCAATGAAAAGACCAGTACCCAGAAAGTACAGCCAGATGACCATACCTGAAGCACTCGAAACTGCCAAACAAAGGCTCCAAGCCCTGGCCAGCCGCCTACAGAGGTACACTAAAGAGAATGAAGCCAGAAGGGTGAACAGGCTGTTCGCAACACAACCTGCGAAGGTGTACGCTCAGTGGCAGGGTAACAACAGGGGAGCAGATCCACCGAGGCTGGAAACTGAACAGTTCTGGAGGAACATATGGGAGAAGGATGCAGCACATAACAGAAGTGCACAATGGCTGGTGTCCCTGAGAGAGGAGCACAGCCATCTCCCAGAACAGAACTCAGTTACCATCACAGAGGCAGACATCCGAGAAAGAGTCTCAGGTATGAAAAACTGGACAGCACCTGGCCCTGATATGGTCCATGCCTACTGGCTAAGGACACTCACATCACTCCATGAGCGCCTAGCAGCACAAATGAACCAGCTGCTGAGAGATGGGACTCACCCAGAATGGCTAACCGAAGGGCGAACGGTCCTGATCATGAAGGACCCTGTCAAGGGTGCAGTCCCCTCCAACTACCGGCCAATAACCTGTCTCTCCACAACATGGAAGCTCATGTCAGGCATCATTGCGGCTAAGATAAGTGGGCATATGGAACAATTCATGAGCACAGCACAGAAGGGCATTGGTAGGGGACACCAGAGGAGCCAAACACCAGCTCCTGGTTGACAGAACAGTCGCCCAAGACTGCCGGTCACGACACACCAACCTGTGCACAGCCTGGATTGATTACCAGAAAGCCTACGACTCAATGCCACACACATGGATCATGGAATGCTTGAAGTTGTACAATATCAACAGGGCTCTAAGGGACTTCGTTGCAAACTCGATGGGAATGTGGAAGACCACCCTTGAGGTAAATGGCAAGCCGCTCGCACAAGTGACCATCAAATGTGGTATCTACCAAGGAGATGCTCTGTCCCCACTACTGTTCTGCATAGGCCTCAACCCTCTAAGCCAAGTAATTGACCAGACTGGCTATGGATACCGCCTCAGGAACGGAGCAAAGATCAGTCACCTCCTCTACATGGATGACATCAAGCTGTACGCCAAGAGCGAGAGAGACATCGGCTCTCTGATCCAAACAACCAGGATCTACAGCCATGACATCGGGATGTCATTCGGGCTCGAGAAATGTAGCAGGATGGTGACTCGGAGAGGCAAGGTAGTCCACACAGAAGGGATCTCACTCCCAGAGGGAACAATAGCAGACGTTGAGGACAGTTACAAGTATCTCGGTATACCACAGGCAAATGGCAACCTCGAACAGGTGACGAGGAAAGCGGCAACTGCCAAATACCTCCAGCGAGTAAGGCAGGTCCTAAGAAGCCGGCTCAATGGCAAGAACAAGGCCCGGGCAATTAACAGCTACGCCCTGCCAGTGATCAGATACCCTGCAGGAATAATCAGGTGGCCAAAGGAAGAGATTCAGACCACGGATGTTAAAACTCGAAAGCTCCTTACCATGCATGGCGGGTTCCATCCCAAATCCAGCACCCTGAGACTGTACGTAAGCCGTAAAGAAGGAGGCCGAGGACTAGTGAGTGTGAGAGCCACTGTCCAGGACGAAACATCCAAACTCCATAACTACATCATGGAGAAGGCCAAAACGGATGACGTACTCAGTGAATGTCTCAGGCAGTGGCGAGATGAGGAGGTGCTGGAGGAGAGCCCATCATGGGAGAACAAGCCCCTACACGGCATGTACCACCGGAGCATAACAGAAGTGGCTGATCTCAAGAAGTCCTACCAATGGCTAGAAAGGGCTGGCCTACAGGACAGCACAGAGGCACTCATCATGGCTGCACAGGAACAGGCACTGAGCACCAGAGCGATAGAGGCCCAGATATACCACACCAGACAAGACCCAAGGTGTCGGTTGTGCAAAGAGGCACCTGAGACGATCCAACACATAACTGCAGGGTGCAAGATGCTGGCAGGGAAGGCCTACATGGAACGCCATAACCAAGTGGCTGGCATAGTGTACAGAAACATCTGTGGAGAGTATGGGCTGGAAACCCCAAGGTCTAAGTGGGAAACTCCTCCAAAGGTGGTGGAAAATGAGCGTGCGAAGATCCTGTGGGACTTCCAGATACAGACCGACCGAAAGGTAATGGCAAACCAACCTGACATCGTGGTGGTAGACAAAGGGCAGAGGACAGCCGTGGTGGTGGACGTGGCAATTCCAAGCGATGGTAACATCCGGAAAAAAGAACATGAAAAGCTTGAGAAATACCAAGGTCTCAGAGAGGAGCTGGAGAGGGCCTGGAGGGTAAAGGTGACAGTAGTGCCCGTGGTGATCGGTGCACTCGGGGCAGTGACCCCGAAGCTAGATGAGTGGTTACAGCGGATCCCCGGAACAACCTCGGACATCTCGGTCCAGAAATGTGCAGTGCTAGGAACAGCAAAGATACTGCGCAGAACCCTCAAGCTCCCTGGCCTCTGGTAGAGGACCCGAGCTTAGAGAGGGATAACTGCCCGCGGAGGGCCAAAGGTGAGTGGACAATTTTATACACTCACATGTGCTACATACCTATTTATAGTGCAATTTATTCAATAAAATAAATAGAAAAACTAAAAAAACAGAAACTGGAGAGGATCTGAATATATAGGGTACGCAAACAGTGACCATGCAATAATAAAACACCAGTGTACGATATACATTTCACCATATACACATATCACTATATTAAGAAAAATAAACCATGTACAAAATGATCGATGAATTGACAATATCAAAATAAATTTCTTATACAAATATGCTTAAATTGAAGTCGTAATTCAAGCCTTTTGGGGCAAGGGTCTGAAGTGAGTAGATCCAGTAGGTCTCTCTCTGTTTGAGCAGTCGGCCGTGGTCTCCTCCTCTGGGTGGAAGGGGGACTTTCTCAATGCCACAGAATCTTAAAGCACTAATGTCGTGGTTGTGGTCATTAAAATGTACAGCTACAGGGTAGTCTCTGTCGTTCCTACGGATGGTGCTCTTGTGTTCACTGATTCTGTTTTAGTTTTCTTGTTGTTTTACCAATGTAGGCCAAACCACATGGGCACTTATAAACTACATGTGTGGAGGCACATATACATGTAATCACACATTTAATGTGGAATTTTTTACCAGTGTGGGGGTGCAAAAAATGATCAGTTTTTGTAGTGTTATTGCACTGAGCACAGCAGCGGCAGTTCCCAGTAGGAATCGGTTGGAGCAGTGTTTTGTGAGGGTTCCTTTGGAAACTGACTGATAGGCAGGCCTTTTTCAAGGGTGTGGGGTGGAAACTGGAGGCCAACAGGAGTGTGTTTCTATCAGTTTCTTTGCGATACGTATTCCGGCGCCAGCTCCCGCTGTGCAGCTCGTCACTTTGGCTCTCTTCTCTTTCCGACCCTTTCTCTATTTATTTCTTGTAGATGTGCTGTTTTATTTTTTTATTTTCGTAGACAAGCGTTTATTTGTGCATTGTGCACACGGGAAGCCTAGCCTCGTGGACTTTCTCACTGGATTAACATGACTTCGGCACTTTTTTCGGAGTCCTCCGCTCACAGAGCCACGAGACCAGCGTGTCCCATTGTTTACACACGGGAGCAGCTTCTCGGACTTAGAGACTCCGCT